CCAGAAAGTTCTGCCAAGGATGTAGTATTGGAAGGAAGAAATCAGAATTACAAGGAATGAACAGGTTTTGAAAAAAGATTTGGAGAAGAAAATGCAACAGCACTTCATGCAACAAGGATTGGTTCCTGCACCCATAAATAGTCTATTCTTGAAGGTTTGGGGATTTATTGAAGTAATATGAAATAGGACCTCCGGATGTTATTGAAGGGAATTCAAGGAATTGTTATTTTAAATTTTTTATTTATTTATTCAATTTGGATGCTGCCCAACTCCAATCAACTTTGGGCAGCTCACAAGCATAGAATAACAATAAAAACACCAAAGTACAATTGTTTTTTTAAAAAGAACAGTATAAAAGTAACTACAAAATAATTGCTTGATTGATTATGTGCCAACAAGACATTGTTGACACCTAGCAACCATATAGATAGATAGATTTTCTCCATGAACAAAATAACTATGTGAGGGCAATTCAAACAACAAAGCAGACATAAAGCATCACAAACAGGGGAGTTCTATCCACTCTACCCCAAAGCCAGGTTGTCAAGGTCTTCTGGAACATTTTCAGGGTAGAATATGGAAGAACTGATTGCCATGGCAACCACTGGTCTAGAATGAATGGTAGATCCTTGGAAGCTTTTAACAGCCTGCTATTCATAAATCCTAGCCACTGACATTAATAATTGAGGTACATTTAGCAAAATCAGTTTAGTACACAACCCAAACTCTTATTTTTGACCATTTTCATTTTAAATACACTTTATTGTTTCAACTCTAATCTATATGAATAGTTCTAGGGGTGGAGGGAGGGATATATATATACATACATACATACATACACATACATACATACACATATATACATATACTTAAATATATATACATAAATTTATTATATATATATATAAAATTTATTATCTAGATAGACTTGTGATTACAAAATATATTAAAACAGCATGTACAGTGCATCTCTGAGCAAAGCGTATCTATGCCAGAAGTAAGGTGCATTTATTCTATGACCCAATAAATAGAAATTTCTTGGTAGCTATCCAAATTCTCAGTTATTTTAATGCTTGCAACTCTTAAAAGAAAGTAAGAGGAGATGAATTGGGTACAATTATGCAGCCAGAGCACTAAATGCTTATGCCATTATGGAACTGAAAAAGTTATTGAGTGAAAAGGAGAGCTGAAACAGCAGGTGTAAATTAACTGAGACAGGACAATTAAAATGCCTACATTCAAAAGGGATGGGAAGCTGCCTAGGCAGTAGGACAACTCAAGAGTGGATAATTAAGACAGTCTTGCCCACCTATTATTCCCCAGATGTGTTAAAACTGTGAGCAGACATCCTATAATATTTGGAGAGCTCACAGTTTTATAGGAGACAAACATGGTTGGAGAGCTGTCTGAATGACGCCATGTAGATGTGGTCAGTCACGTGGAATTTCCTCTGACTCTGTTAATGCCATCCTAAATCAAAGCACTGCAGTACAAAGATCTTGTAATATGTCTATAAAAGCAGGATTCAGATTCAGCTGACTGAGAAGGGCATTTTCTCTCATTCTCTTTCTGAATGTGAAACAGAGGCCATCACTTAGGACCTGATTTTTTCCCATCCCATAATATTCTATATACAGTTAGTTTCAGAATCTGTGTCATACAGATTTTAAACATCTCTTGCTCTGGGAAAACAATATTCTGTGCATATATATCAGAAAAGGATAATCTGTTCTTGTTGCTGTTTATTGTACATAATCATAAACTTAAGTGTTCTGTGTAAGAGAAAATTGGAACATATACTAACTGCCATAAAGTAGGAGAAAATATGCTAACCATGCAAGATGGGCTGCTTGCTATTTATGAAATATTGCAAACAATTTTATACATATTTCCATTCATCATGCACATGAATTAACTAATAACCAGTTTAGCATGCTAATCTTTGCTATTAAAATAACATAATCATTATCTTTCTAGCTTTTAATTTAGCCATGTAGGCTTTTTATTAGTGCTAATAGAAATTTATATAGCTATTTATTCCTATTCCATTTCAGAAATCTTTAAATCCAGTAGACTTAATCAAATCTTAATTCCCATCTTCTAAAAAAAAAAAAAAAAGTTATATCTGAATTAATTTTACCTGTACTGGTGGCAAACTATTTTGACTACACAAGTTAGCTGTTTCTTTAATAGCTCGTACAGAAGTTCTTATCCTGTAGGACATGTTATATTTCTGTAAGATCAGCCCCTCAGAATCACCACTTCATGTGACTATCTTATGCAGACTATAAGGATCTCAGCTACAATCTAAAGGAACTGTTTAAATGTATATATGGAATTATATTCTAGAGACAGGTTCCAAAGTGGCTTAAGACTGTATCCTGATCAAGCATAATTCAACCTTGTCCCTGCCTCAGTGATCTTCCAAAATAATCCAATCCTGGTTAATTGCTACATCCCTGGAAATTCTCTGTAGGAAATAGGGGAAGCAACTTTGAACTAAAAATAGTATTATGAAAATATGTAGTTTTAAATTCATTTAAAACATAGTAGTATTTTGCTGACTAGTTTAGAGTATACTTTTACTACCATGGTGCCAAACAGAATGAAAGATTCTCTCAGTTCAAGCTCAGCTCAACACAGACCCATCCATTCAGTGGTTTTTTGGCAACTGTACCTAAATGGTTTGACACTGCTTTCTTCTGGGATGATTTTACCTAGGACTGAATTGTACTTGCTGTAGAGATAGAGATAGAGATAGAGATAGAGATAGAGATAGAGATAGAGATAGAGATAGAGATAGAGATAGAGATAGAGATAGAGATAGAGATAGAGATAGAGATAATAAAATGGGTATCTTCATTGCATAACTAGTTTTCTGATCCCACTAGCACTTTTTCAATCTTCCCACTTTTAAACTTTTTAAACTGAAAAAGTTGGATTATCCAAACAAAAAACTCTCCGTTTTGACCTTAAGAAAACAGAACAGCAGGACTTTAGCTGCAATTTGAGTACAGAATAGCTTTCAAGGCTAGAACAAATTATATAACTCAAGAGATTTCTTGACTAAGTAATTTGGAGAAGCAAACTGCATCTAAGATTATTGCAGTATATACACTCCATGTTGCAGTGTGCCTGTAATTAACAGAATGTCCTTTAAAAAATATACATACTTGTTCAATTCCAAAAATATGAATTCTTACTATAGGGAATGCTTTAGACTTGTCTACAGTATGGTATACCATTTTCATAATGGATGTCAATTATCCTACTTTGGACACATTATGCAAAGACCCAGCTCTCTGGAAAAGGCTCTAATACTGGGAAAGGTGGAAGGAAAGAGAAAAAGAGGATGACCAGCACCAAGGTAGATGGACTCAGTTACAGTGGTAATGAGTGCACCATTGGGAGACTTGTAAAAAGAGGTCAGGGATAGATCATCATGGAGAAAATCTATGTGGTTGCTAAGAGTTAAAAATGACTTGATGGCACAT